ATAATAAACACAGTCCTTGTAGGGGTTTTTTGGGCTCTCTGGCAGTGTTCCTGAGGTTTTTCTTCCTGGTGTTTCACCAGTCTCTGTGGCCGGAATGTTCAGAGGACAGGAGTCAGAATTCTGTCTGCTCTGGTGCAGTTTGTGGGATAGTTGAGTATTTATAGCTGTGGGATTAGCTTTTTGTCCTTTTCAGGAGATTGAGTGATTATGGTGATCAGTGTATTTTTTCTTATGGGTGTATTGTTGTGAAAAGGGGAAGAGATGATCTGTCAGTGTGATTGATGGGTGTCTTTTGTGCACAGTGATCACTGGTCCTTGTGGCTGGTTAGAGTTCGTTGACCTTTTGCAGGCTGTGTTTTTCAGTGTTGGGAGCCAGGCTTTCTTGAGTTTTAGACGTTCTTCTTTTTTGTTGAAGCTCTGCTGGTGTTTGTGGATTTCAATGACTTCCCTGTGCAGTCTAACATAATGATTGCTGGTGTTGTCCAGTACTTCTGTGTTTTGAAATAAAATTTCATGTCCAGCTTGATTCAGGGCATGTTCAGCTACTGCCAATTTTTCCGGTTGTTTTAGTCTGCAGTGTCTCTCATGTTCTTTGATTCCGGTGTGGATGCTGCATTTTGTGGTTCCAATATATACCTGGCCACAACTGCAAAGTATCTGGTATACTCTTGCAATATAAACACATAATAAACACATTCTTTTTAACATGTTAGGTTCAAAGGTTGCTCAGTGTGGTGCAGTGGATAAGAAGGATGGATTAGTTCCCTGGAGAACAGGGTTCGAATCCCCATCTGGCCATGGAAACTTGCTGGGGTTGTGGAACTGGTAAAACCATCCCTTAAATACCTCACTTACCTTGAGAACCCTATTAAGGCTGCTATAAGTTGTGATAGCACAAAACAACAAAGTGGTTCAAATGAACTGCCTAAGACATCAAGCGTATGTCCAACCAGCAGATGAGGATATAGCAGTTTACATAGTAGTTTTCTAGCATATCTCCCATTTGCAAGAGGAACAGTGCTGAACTACCATATGTTTTAGCATGTGCATTAAGAGTACATGTATCTCACACTCTGCTGTGGGGCTTGCTGCATAAAGGGAGATGCAGTAACATCCCAGAGCATGGGAAGTTTCATTTAAAAGGAACTGCATGGCAGTTCTTGTTTCAAGGCTCGAAAAGGTAGCTAGTTGCCATGATAGGTAAGTTTCCCATTTTTCAGAAAGTAACTACTGTAGTTTTAAAACCATCTGAATGCTACAGAGTGCTGGCATATGGCACAAAACAAAGTATCCTTCTGTCCTTCCCTTTCTTGCCTCATCACTCACAATAGAGCACAAGGCACAATACAAGCCAATGTTTGAAACCATTGAATATACCCCCATCATTATAAAAGAATCTAAAAATCCATTATGAAAGCACTGTGTTTATACCTTGTTATTGAGAGTTGTAATGTATTCTAATCCTGTTACTTTTAGAAAAAAAAAAACAATTAGCTACAAGTAAGAGTTCAGTCTACATTCGGCATCATCTTCCTTGGGAAGGGGGGACAGAACACATGAACAGCTAAGCATGCACTGCTCTGCAGAAACAGGGGAAGGGGATTTGCCAAAGACGTCAATGACGTAAGAGTTCAGAAGAAATCTGGAGGAGATTTCTGTGATTCATGTTTTTTACCACGGGAGGCAGATCACCCTGAGGAGATGCTGGTACTTGCTACAGAAAAAAAATGAGCAAACCCAAAGAATTAAAACAGCAAAGTGGGGTGGGGATAAAGGGATTAAAGGAGAGAAATAGAGTAGAGATGGAGGGGAGAGAAGTGACGGAGAAAAAAAAATCAACCATTCCACACACACACACTTGAAATTTTCATTTGAATAGTCACTATGATTTCCTCTTCTTGAAGAGCCTAACTCACACAAGGACCCCCAATTCCATATGAATGTGCAGAACCCAAACTAGCCCAAATTCAGCATTTTCAGATTCCATTGGTTCGTTCTGGTGGGCTGGGTAATGCTCTTAGTAAGTAGAAGCCTCTCATTTTAATATTATGTCATGCTTTTTATTTAATCATACTATAAATTATTAAACCTGCAGATTTTTTTTCCTCTTTGATAAGCCATTAATTCCAGCCTCTGATCAGAATGCTTGCCTGTTTTAGCTGGCAGCACGATTAAGAACTACTTCCAAAGATATCTTCCAGTTTTCTGCCTTCAGCTTTTTACCAGCTGCTGTGCTGCAGTGGTTTTATTATTTATTTATTTAAAATATTTTTTAATATTTCCTTTCTCGTTAAAAAGGAGCCAAGGCGGCTTACATCATTGAAAGACAATATTAGAGCTAAAACAGTAAACATGCAAATATTAAAAAGGAGCAAATGCCACTCTAAGAGATGCCAAAGAGGAGTACTAAAGACCCAGTCAGAGCAGTAATGTACTATAACAATCCATCTAAAAGTCACTCATGTATCCATTTACTGGGAAGAAGCTTGCCTGAAGATTCTTGGCCTTCAGTTTCTATTCCAGGGTTATGGGGTCCCCCCCCCTCCCAGGAATCGGAGGTGGGGGGAGAATATTGTCCTTGAGACCTAAGGATCCCTTGCTAAGTCAAGCTTGAACATGATGGCTGGAGATGATGAAAGTTGTAGTTTAGCGTATTTGGGAAAGGGGGCATAGAAACAGAGGATTAGATGGTATAGCAAGAGTCTCTGAAAAAGATAATAATGCTTGAAAAAGTTGAAGACAGCAAGAAAAGAGGAAGGGGAAAATATGATGTGGATTGAGTCCATAAAGGAAGCCCTAGGCTTGAATTTACAAGAGATGAGCAACACTGTTAGGACAGGGCATTTTGGAGATAGCTCATTCATGGGGTCGCGGTGGACCAGGGGCAGCTTAACAATACATAACAACAAAGAAATCTTGTTAAGTACGGTGGCCCAGCCTGTTCTGTCATTTGAATATATAATTTTTGAGAATTACCCACCAGTTTAAACAGAATCACTTCTGTAACGGATAAATATAGTGGAACCTGGAATTGCCTTGATCTAAAGGTGTCTTTCTTCTTCCTTTATAAAAAAATTAACTGTGGCACCCACTAGTGGGAAAAACGCAAAACTACCATTTTCATTTAATAAATTAAATTAAGATTCGCAATTCTTACCATTTTGTTTTATCTGAAAATCACTTTATTGATTTATATTAAAATATTCAAATAGATATTTTAAAAATTAAAACAATAACACACACACACACCCAAATTATGGAATAAATACTATGCTTACATGTGCGCAAGTGGTATGATGCAAGCAGAGTTCTTTACCACTGTTTTTCTGTGATAAGCCACCTTTAAAAATGCTACACCCAAGGAACCATATTGTGAATGGGGTGAACTGAGAAGAGTGGAGGATCCCCCAAATCAGCCAGAGGGAATTTCTGTGAACAGAATTCTCGTGCTGCTACCAGTTAGACCTTATTTTGTGCTGGTAACATCATCCATGTAGCTTCACATGTAGAAACATGACTTACGGACATGGATATCTAGCAGACTGATACAAGCAGCTATACGGTATGTGTGAGCACGTTTCGTGGAACTCTGTGGTACTTCTGAACCGTCATACATCGGGTTGCTCCATTACCGAATTGAGGAATGACAACTGTAGTCGTTGTGGGCTCTCTTTTCCTCCCAAGAGTCACTTCCAGTAGGAAAGACTGTAAAACTATGTGCTGCGGCTCCAAATGTTTACCTTTGGTGGAGCAGAATATTTCAGAGAGTTTACTGGCAGAGTGTTGCACGCAGAAGGCTCTATGTTTAGTCATTGGCATCTCCAAGAAGAGCATGAAGAACACCAGTCTGAAACCCTGGAGCACCATTGCCAGTCATCTTAGGCAGGACTCCATGGCTGCGGAAATCCTGTTGCACTTGGCATAGTATGAAGTTATGCTTATGGCAGTTCACAGGGAGTTACACACAAGGAGTTTGCAGTGCATGCCTGATTGTGCAGTAGGTTAGTTATGCATTGTGTTTGGGGAACTGCCTCCTGGATGTGACTTCCATTTCAGTGCTGATTTCACAGCTGCTTGTGCAACTTCAAATTACGCAGGCATATGTACACAGCAGGATTTGGGCCAGCATGTGCAGCAGCTCCCAGCATAAATTCCATAAATTCAAGGTGCTATACTTTTGTAGCAGGCTGGTTTGTTACATGGAGATAGACCTTATTTCGCTATGAGGTGTCAGAATAACAGTGTGAACGTGGCAGGGCATTTTAAAATTTTCCTCCAAACAGAAACACTTGAATGGAACTTGATAGATGCCCAAGCTGTTTAAGCAAGCTGCAGTTTAATGTCAAAACTACATTTGATGCTGAATGTGTCACTTTGAAACACAAAATTTTAAGCTACGGGCAAGGGATGGGAGGATTTCTGGGAGACTGCCTGACCTGGAGAATAGAACTGCTGAATAAATAGCTCAGTGGTTTAGGTCTCTGGCCTAAGTTTTTTTGTGATGGAGGAGGAACAGGTTAAACATTCTTTCTGCCAGTTATTATTAACTGTTATGACTTCAGGCAACACACAATGTCAGTAAATTTGATTTTTCAGGACAATTTATTGCCTGAAGTCCAGTAGTAAATCACAACTAGAGTAGACTCATTGGATTAGTGGGGATTTGGTGAGTTCATTCCTCTGTAAGGTACTCTCATGGCAGGTTTCTACTGGATATGAGCCTATATATACAGTATGCTTACCTAGGAGTAAGCCCCACTATATTCAGGTTAAGGGTGTATACAATCACAGCCTTCGTTTGCCTGTCTGTCACTCTCTTTTTTCATTAAAAGAAAAAATCTCAAAGAATGTCAAAATTATCCTTGACAGAAACAGATTGCTATTGAGCATTATATGCATTTCAGATATACATTAAAGAGGTCACTGAAAATTATTATTAAGGTTCATTAAGTCTTCCTTCAATATATGGCTAAATGTATTTTGAACTACTGTTTTTACAGGGACATGGTTGAAAAGCAGCTTAGGCATCATAGAACGAGAAGGAAGTGAGATGACCTGGACATATATTGCCCCACAGCTGGGGTATTGGGTTGCAGCCATGTCACCCACAAATCCAGGTGAGACAGACTCTTTTAAAATATATATTATTTGTCTCAAAAATATAGCAAGACATCCTGGGTGAGAATCTTGAGTAAAATGCTGGGTGAAACTCTCCTTCCCCATTCTTTCTGTGAACTCAACCATCTTCTCCAAGGAGCCTCTCATGGGTCAGGACTGGAGGGAGGAGCTGTGTGAGGTTGGTCTTACAGGAGTATGGTGGGAGGGGGATTATCCAAATCAGGTGAAATCTTGCATCACCCACATGAGATTCCTGGTTTCAAATGATTCTTCACCTGCACGCACACATGTCCTTGTAAGACATAACTTGTAATGTTCACTGTGTTTCCCAGTCCAGCAGAGAGACCTTTTTAGGGCTGCAGGTAGAGGAGAAGAAAAATAAATCTGTTATACAGCTTTGCTTTACGTTTTCCCAAGGCCAGATATCATTCATTAGTAAAAAGTTTATGTATTTCAAAATAGCACATGCTGAGGTATCCCTAAATTGGGAAGGAGGTGTTAAATACTGTCAAAATACTGAGTTTTGATTAGTAGACATTTTTAAAAATGTAGTTAGTGAGAATCTTGTTGGTTATTTACACAAACTAAGTCTAGTAGTATAAATTCCACTGTCAACTTTCCACTAACTAACTAGTCACTGTTCGTATTTGTGGTCTCTTGTCAGCTGTATGACTTGGTGAATGACAGGAAATTAGAGCAGCAACTTGTTAATAGTAGATATTTGCCAATACAGTTTATGTCATTATGCTTATATTGGCACAAATCCGCAATAAGATTCTGTCTAGTGTTGGTTTTTATAGCTTTGCTTGCACTGCGGTCATTTTTCAGTGGCCCTCAGCCTTGGGCCTCCAGATGTTCTTGGATTACAACTCCCAGAAGCCTTCACCACCACCACTGCTGGCCAGGATTTCTGGGAGTTGAAGTCCAAGAACATCTGGAGGCCCAAGGTTGGGGGCCACTGATTTAGATCACAGAAAGCAGCCTCCCATACCAGAGGCCCACCAGGTGCCATGGTCTGTAACTTCTACAGTCCACCTACAAGCACTGATGATTGAAGCATTATGGAAACTGTCATGCAATGCATTTGGAGGACACTATTTTCATCAGGATCATTGTAGGGAGGGGCAAAGCTAATGCATATCAGATGTGTGTCTGTGTGCCTATGTATGTGTGTGCAACCCTGCAGCCACATGAAGTTAATGTAGCCTTTGGGGGTGGGGGGGAATGCCATTGGGCTAGTCCTTGTAGCTGCAGAAATTATCTCCTAACCATGATAAGTTACCCAGCATGGATGTATTGTCGCTTCTAGCCCTTGTCTACACAAGAAGCAGAATGAGATTGAATTAACCATATTTTCCAAATCCGTCATCCCATGTTCATTATTTATGTAATAATTCTGGGGTTCAGAATTTTCCTTCATTTAGAAGAAAAATATTCAATTTCCACATCCCAAAAGTTTTGTTTAACATTTAAAACTTTCTTTTCTCTGCCAGGTCCCATCATAACCCAAGATATAACCACATATCACACAGTGTTTCTTTTGGCAATCCTCGGAGGAATAGCTCTTATACTACTTGTTTTATTGTGCCTCCTTTTGTACTACTGCAGGTAAAACAACTTGTTGTCATACTTAGTCTTGCAATTGCAGTTGGTTGCTTTCTGAAAAAAAATTGTGTGGAAGAAAACAGCTTTGAGTACCTTCTTGCAAAGCCATATTCTGTTCTAATGAAGAGGTTCGTTCGTTTGTTCTTTCTATCTTTCTTTCTTTCTCCTTCCTTCCTATCAGAGCACTGCACAATTTAAAATTATGTACATACAGTATATGAAATATAGATAAAATTAAAGACAAATTTAAATGTTAAGATAATTAGCCTATGTTTGACCAGAAGCTGCTTCAATAGCATTATCTCAGCCATTTGCTAAATCTTCTTCGGTACACATGGGCCCATAAATCGCAAGCCCCTAAATGCTGCATTGATTTAATTTCTCCAGTCACAGAAATTTTGTTTTGCATCCAAGTAACCCCATTTTATTTGATTATTCTTTGATTTTCCTACTTCACTTTCAAGTCTGTGTACAAGACTTGCACTATGTAAAGGATTCAGACACACTCTCTATTTTTTGTTTCAAATATCTTGTGCAATATTCTGTCACAAATTGCAAAATGGTCCTTCTGTGAGTATAATATGATTTCCGTATTCGGAATAATATTTTTGCATCCTAGGCATTATATCTAAACCACTGTTTTAAAAGCCACATGTTAAAGAAAATCTAATTTTTCAGTATAAAATGTGGAACAATATAAAGAAGAACCAATTTGCTTACTCTATAGAAAACTTTATGGCTTGATGAGTACAGATATTAAGAACCCAAAAGTTAATGTGAAAATGATTTTTTTTGTTACTAGCACTGTAAAACAAGGAACAAAATTAGCAATCAAAAAAGCAAAGGAAAAATCTTAAACTTGCATGTGCTCCATTGTGTTGAGATGGAAATTATCAATATTAACAAATGAGATTATAAAGGTTTTTCATTTTGGCTGAAGATCAGTAAAAGCTGCCATTTCTTCAATTCACTGTGATCTGTTTATAAAAGCCTTCATTTTAACTTTGTATGAAAACTAAACAATGGCCTGTTACAAAACATTAACTGGAATTTTGTTTTTCCCAATCCCCTTCTGAATATTTCTTTTTTGGGTATAAGAAGATTATTTTTAGGTGCTAATACCGTAACACATCTGAGTTCTGTATGACTGTAATTTCACAAAATGAGCCTCTTCTTATTCACAGTTATATAACAGACAACATAAGCAGTTATAACAATAACAAAATGCTACCAATTGTGCACCCAGGTCTTTGGCAACAGCACCAATACAGAAGCTGCTTGTAGAATTGGAAAAATCAAGTGTCCTTTTGAATTCAAATTCAGACAAAATTCCATCATATCTTCCTCAGCTAGGTTGGGTATCACTAACATAGAAGAATCAGCCCCACATGCAGAGACTTCAAAACCCTGAGAATAAAATATAAATTCAGTTGCATATACAGTGGTGCCTTGCAAGACGAAAGTAATTCGTTCCGCGAGTAGCACTGTCTTGCGAAATGTTCATCTTGCGAAAAGCAAGAAACCTCGCAAGATGAATGGATTATTTTCGTCTTCTGAGGCATCGGTCTTGCGGGGGGAAAATCATCTTGCGAAGCACGGCCATAGAACAAGCCGTCTTGTGAGTCACCAACACGATCGCAAAAACCATTCATCTTACAGGTTTTTCGTTATGTGAGGCGTTCGTCTTGCAAGGCACCACTGTACATGAATGTATTATGTGGATTCACCCCTCCAGTATGAATTAAATCTAGACCAAGTTGGCAAGGGCCTTAGTAGTCTAAGTGGCAGCAGCAAGTCCAGCCTCTTCAGTTCTTCCGCTCTTTCTGATTCAGATCTCTTACTCACAACCCCACTCTTTCTTAGTCTCACCCCTTTGGGTTGAAACAATATGTCATAGGGTTTACACTAATGTCTGCTGAATTGATGTTTGTAAATTTTTATAATTAAATAACCATTAATAACTTTAATCTGTGTGTGAATGACTGGAAATCTAACTTTTCCACCTTTTGTTTGTTCACTTGTTTACTTTATCTAGGGAGTTTTATTGTATATTTTTGCAGTTGAAATATTAACTGAAATGAATAACTAATTCAGGTGTTTGAGATCCATGAGAAAATAAAGAGGCATAACAGCATGCTTGGGTGATGATACCCAGAGTATGCAGAAACATAAGGCAGATAGGAACACATAAGATACTGCAGTGAAGACTGAGTTGCAGAAATTTGAGCTCAACTGGGAAAAAAACTAGAAAAGTGAGGGGAAAAGCCAGAACTTAGAAAAGTTACTTTTTTGGGACTAAACTCCCAGAATACCTCCACCAGAGATAAATCATGGTCAATCTGGCTGGGGGATTTTAGGAACACAAAATTAACAATTCCAAACTGTGCTTGAGAGTCTAATGGAGACCACCTGCTGTTCTCATCAAAAAGTATCTATTACTAACTCTGAGAGTAGTGTTTGCTTGTTGCTGTTGGTCCAGTAGAACTTTTAAAATATCTGGACACCAGCAGTTTCTACCTAGAAGCATTGGGATAGGAGGGAATTTTCCGTTCCCCACACTGTAGAATGAGCTGCCTTACTTGCTTGAACCATGAACTAACAGTATTAGCTAATTGGAACCCTGCTTAGAAACACTGGTGTTAAGGGTTGAGGATATGCAATAATCTTTTATTGTGGCTTCCACTTATCTTGATAAATTTTCTTTCCTTTTCCTTTTTAAATTACAGGAGAAAATGTTTGAAACCACGTCAACACCATAAGAAACTGCAGTTGTCCTCAGCACTTAGTGGAGCCAAGAAGGATCAGTCAACCTCAATGTCCCACCTCAACCTAATATTCTCACGACGAGAGTCGGAATTTCCTGGTGGGCCCTCTGCTGCTAGCAACAGGCATGCAGAATCGGCAGGCCATAAAGAGCTGATGGGAGCGGTTCATATGGAGAAAGGTGGTTTGGGCGGAGAGGCAGATATGCGTACTCCCATGCTCAAACATGCGTATAGCACTTCGCAGGAATTCAGTTCTCGGGAAGAACTGCTTTCCCACAAGAAGGACCAGAACCGAATGTCTCTGGAGAATATGACCTCTGGTGACACTTTGAGAAAAGACTATATTAAATTAGTGGATGCTTTCCCTATAAACCCAAGAAAATCTGTAGAAACATCGGAAGGCTATGACTCCCCTGACAAGGAGGATCATAGAAGGAGTTACAATGCAATGTTGGCTCGGCCTTTGTTTGAAAAGCAAGAGCAAACATCCATGAATCATATTTCGACTGGAAGTAAATACAATATTCAGGAACCACTGTACCCCATACCTTCAGCGCCTGAAACAGAACTGTTAGACTGCAGACCCTCTGAATGTATGATGTCTCGCTCTGTCGACCATCTTGAAAGACCTACATCTTTCCCTCGACCTGGTCAGCTGGTTTGCTGTAATTCTGTGGATCAGGTTAATGACAGTGTTTACAGAAAAGTATTGCCTACCTTAGTCATTCCAGGTCATTACATGAAACTCCCTGGGGACCATCCTTATGTTAGCCAGCCTTTGGCAGTTCCCACTGACCAGCCAATCGATATCGAAAGACTCCAGGCAGATCTGGCGAGTCCTCATTCGCAGCTTTTCCCACATTCCCAGCAACAGATGCAGCCTCAACAATTGGCAGCTCAGGCAATATCTCAACAACATTTGCAAGAAGCTGGTGCGAGCGAATGGAACCCGCAAAATGTTTCCATGTCGGAATCGGTGTCCATCCCAGCCTCGCTCAACGATGCTTCTTTGGCCCAAATGAACAGCGAAGTGCAGCTTCTTACGGAGAAGGCTCTCATGGAATTGGGCGGAGGCAAGCCTTTACCTCATCCACGAGCGTGGTTTGTTTCTCTAGATGGGCGTTCAAACGCCCATGTCAGACATTCGTACATCGATCTTCAAAGAGCTGGAAGGAATGGAAGCAACGATGCCAGTTTGGATTCGGGCGTCGACATGAACGAACCAAAATCTGCCCGAAAGGGGAGGGGAGATCATTTGTCTTTGCAGCAAACTCATCAGCAAGGGCAGACACACCCGCAGAAAGAGCAGAAAGCTCCGGACAGCACAGCTTACACACAGCTGGTCTATCTGGATGATATGGACCAAAGTGGTAATGAATGTGGAACTGCAGTGTGCAGTCCGGAAGACAGCACCCTGAGGTGCTTGTTAGATGGAGGCAGCAGACGACCGGGTGGCCAGTTGCCCAGCTTGCAGGAAGAAACAATAAAAAGAACTGTAGAAAGTTCACCAGAGCCTTTAACAAGTCCAGAACATGGAACAACTGTCCACAGTGAAGTTGGAGAGGAGGACGAGGATGAAGATGATGAGGAGGATGACCAAGGAGAAGATAAAAAGAGTCCCTGGCAAAAACGAGAAGAAAGACCACTCATGGCTTTTAATCTAAAGTGAGCTACAACAGATTCTTTTTTTCTCCCCTTTCCCCAGAGGAATATAAAATTGCCAAATATTTTTTTCCAGTGGATGCTCTGGCTGTTTAAAGGGGGTGAAAAGGAGATGAAAATAACCCTCACGGCCAGGCAACAGAGAAAGTACACTTTAAGGATTCCTGTGCAGAATGAAATCTGTTCCTCGGAATCCTATACGAGGAACATGTCCTGCAAGAGAACAGTGTGACGTTAATTCCGTTTACTTGATATTGGCCATCAAGGACGTTTGGACATAATTGGCATGTGGTATGGCAGATTATGACCTCAGATGTGTGAAGCATTGTTGCATTTTCTTGATTCAATGTTATTGACGCTACTGAAAGGGTATCTTCAGAGTTTGACACTTGACATCTTAACAGATATGCATTATCTCAAAGGAAGGCTATGCATTGCTGCTTTTTAGTAATCGTTTTGTTTAAACTATGCTTTTCTTACTTATTTACAAGGTAGTGGTAAAACATTGTACGTCTCTTTCTCGTAGTCTGCTCAGCAACTGAGTTTTTTATGTATGTGGAGCCTGGGTAGCATTTTGTGGTATTTTAAAAAGCTTTTTTATGAAACCAAATTTTCATAAAAATTTTAAGTCAGCTGCAATTCCTCCAGTTTTGGTCCCTAATCCAAGTGCCTTTTTTACAGGAACAATGAACAGCCCCTTCTTTTGCTAGCGCCTTGAATATTCAGATTTTTTTTTTAAATAAAAAATTCTGAAGCTGTACCTTTCCTTTAAACTGCATGCCATCAAGTGTCTGTGCTGAATGATTCCTCATTTCACTACAATGTATTCTCTCGTTATGGTGTGTACTGTGGATTCTGTTTAGCCGAGATAGACTAGAGGACATCTTTGGAAGACCCCAAAGCAGCCAAGGGGATAGTTTCACTGACTGTACATATGATGTATATAGGCTCGAGTGACATGGATCATGGACCAAGCAAGTGAACTGAATGTGTTTTCAAAATGTCAGGCAAACTTTATATGTACTATCAAAAAGTGCCAGGTAACACTTCTGTGCTTTCTCTACATAAAGCTGCTTGGTTATCCAAAAATTATAATTAAAAAAACTTTTTAAAAGGATTTTAAAAAACTCCTTTTTGGTGTCACAGCATTATTATTTAGTAGACTAAACAAGGATTCTGAAAGTGATTATTAAAGTATATATGCCTGAGTCTGATTATTTAATTCTTGCAGCATCCTAGTTAAGGCCCACAACAGATGTCATGGCATCAGACATGGTTATTTGCTTCTCTCAGCCTTTTTGTAGAGATATTTTATAGGATGACCTGCAGCAGCCCCAACTATAAGGCCAGTCTTCAGTGTCTAAAAGTGATTACACAAAGTGGAATGAAGTTTCCCAATGTGGATCTCCTGTTCTTCAAATTTACCTGCAGAAAAAAACAACATAGAAGATCTACAGAAACATGCTTCCTGATTTACATTTGCCAAAACAGAGCAAATACAAGAGGAGAACCTGTCATGGGAAAAGTGAGGAGACAGTGGGATACCTTTGCAGAGGAAATTAAAGGAAAGGCTAACCTGCCTGCTGCCTTCCATGGTTGATCGGGTTCAAATCCATCAACTAACCCTTGCAAATGTTTTGTGTCTCCTATTCTACCTTCTGAGCTTTCTTGCACTCCTCACAGTATCTGGAAGTGTAGGAAAGATCTTCCTGTCAACAACATAGTCTTGTGTAATCTATCTCTGTTGTAAGCGAAAGCATTGTGTTGTTAGAGGTAGTGGCGAGGTGGGCTAGTTCGGAGCAGCCAATTAAGATGGATTAGCTTTGTAGATCATTAGCTCCTGGAAGAAAGGAAAAGTCCTAGAACTGATGGAAACTACCAAGATTGGTTTGCTGGTGTAGATGAGCACAACTGCCTCCATTTTTTGGACTCTTTGGGGCACTGCTGTGGAGACAGTAATGAGGACCCCTAGCATTTTAGAATTCATCATGGCACCACTGATGGACGCCCAAATGGATAGCAGCCAATTTAAATCTTGTAAATTTTTCTGCAGGATAGTTTTAATACGTAGTCATTTTTAGAAGAATTCTTGAGGCGTGGTCAAGGCAATTTTCAAATTGAGGTTAAGCAAGCATTTTGAACATTGCCACTGGCCAACAGTAATTATGAACATAGATGTCTGTTTTAAGTGGTTTCCTACCTGCCTGTCCATTCATTCATCTATCAATCTACCTATTGTCTACACTTCTCCCTTGCAGGACCCAAGGCATAGAGTTTAAAATACCAATAAATTATGATATTCAAACATAATTAAATAAGTTATTGGATTAAAATCACACAAAACAGTCTAAACCCTTTTTTAAAACAACAACCAAATATGCACACAACACACGCCAGTAAAGGCACATCATCCTCAGACATTCGTTGTCTAAAGGTCTGCCTCAATATAAATATATTTGCCATACAAGCAGACTACAAGTAAGCATATCTCTTAAAGCGTAGGAGAATTCTTCTGGATTTCAGAAATATAATGCTATTTGCATTGTATCTAGTTCCACCAGTTCCCCAATGAGCTTCCATGGCTGAGTGGGGGTTCAAACCCAGGCAACCTGGGTTGAAACCTCGCACCCTACCTTGGGCTCCAAAGTACACAACCAGAAAGCTACAGTTCAGACTTTCTTGGCCACTTTTGTTTCCTGTGTGCCTGAGACACTCAGTTTTGTTCATTTGTCTGCTTGACCCTGCCAATCTTACCAGAGTGTCTGCCTGTACTTGGAGGGCCACAGCTGTCCACACTTGCTCCATTACTGTCCACACTTGCTCTTACTAAAATGCATCCGGTGAAACAAAAGGATGGTGTCTGACTGCCAGGGCATTCCTGTACATACCTACTGAGAAATAAGCCCCATTGAATTCAGTACTGCCAGGGCATTCCTGTACATACCTACTCAGAAATAAGGCCCATTGAATTCAGTCAGACCTTTTTGTGTGTGTGTGTGTGTACAGTGCCCATTAAGGGCCTGATTGGCTAACATTGCCATGAGCAGTGTTTGAAGACTTCTAATACAGCAGGTAAGTGTTCTATTGTGGCAATTTTTAAGGGTTATGTAGGTAAAGCAAAGCAAAGTGTGCTGCTTATATACCACCCCATAGTGCTTCAGGTACTCTCTGGGTGGTTTACAAGTTGATTATGCAGGTTACACATTGCCCCCCCCCCAGCAAACTGGGTACTCATTTTACCGACCTCGGAAGGATAGAAGGCTGAGTCACCCTTGAGCCACTACCTGGGATTAAGCCCCAGGTCGTGAGCACAGTTTTGGCTGCAGTACAGCGGTTTAACCACTGTGCCACGAGGCTCTTCTAAGGTAGTTGGCCTTGTTATTAGGCAAAGTGAGTGCTTCAAGCAGTAATGTTTGAGAGGTGGCAGTAAATGCTTGGGGGAGAGAAATGACAGCTGTCTCTCCTGCCTCAGCCTAGCATGCTACTTCCCGGTGCAGAATGCTCTCCCATTATCATTTTTAAGAGAAGTTAATCTGCCAGCCCAGACAGTTGTATATAAAATTGTGTGTGTGTGTGTCTCCTGTCTTTGCTGCAGGCAGGGGCCACCTCAGTGTGTGTTAATGAAGCCCTGGAGGACCATTAGAAATTTAACAATGGAGTCTCAGATTCCTACAAAAGCGGCATTTTAACTCTCTTTGTAATTAAGTGGGGGTGGAGTGGGGAGGAGGATCAAAGAGGAGAATAACAAAAAAATATATTCTGAGAATCAAAGCAAGGCCAATAAGAGCTTCCTCAGAAGGCTTTCTTCTCAAACACCTCCCAGCTCTCCTTCAAGGAGACCTGAGGTAACCTGGAGGAGGATCAAAGAGGAGAATAACAAAAAAAAATATTCTGAGAATCAAAGCAAGGCCAATAAGAGCTTCCTCAGAAGGCTTTCTTCTCAAACACCTCCTAGCTCTCCTTCAAGGAGACCTGGGGTAACCCGGAAAGCTGTTTCCTTCATCCAAATGTGGTTTCGCTGTAACTCCTACATTCCCTCCTCACCGGCTCAAGCTGGTAGAACCTGCCCCAGTTCCACATCTGTGCCCTGTGCTTTTGTACATATAAGACAAGCAAAAGGAACATTTTAAGTTGAAATATAAAAGGATGCTGGCATGTCTTTGGATCCAAGTTCCAAGTTTTTCACACCAAGTCCGGGTGTTTGGTACCAAATCTTGAATCCCAAGCCCCAAGTCTGGGTCCCTATTAAAAACAAGCATTTTTCCCCAGAAAAAAAGGGAAGGGCGGGTGGGCTCTTGAGTTGTGAGTTGTGTCCAAGTCATTTTTTAAAAAATGAAATCTTAGTCAAGTTGCCAGTGTTACTTAAGTCTGACTTAAGAGTGAATCTTGCAACTCAAGGCCCCACCCCTGACTATAAACATCAAAATGTGGAAACGCCATTCCTTTGGTCACTTGAACTAAGTTTGACTGTTGGCTTGTGCAGAAATACTGTGTGTGCACACACGTGCATGTGTGCATACACTTGCCAGTGTTACTTAAGTCTGACTTAAGAGTGAATCTTGCAACTCAAGGCCCCACCCCTGACTATAAGCATCAAAATGTGGAAACGCCATTCCTTCGGTCACTTGAACTAAGTTTGACTGTTGGCTTGTGCAGAAATACTGTGTGTGCACACGCATGTGCATGTGTGCATACACATTTGAGGATTTGTGCTGAGGGAGGGGGTGTTCCTCATGCTGCTTTAATTGTACACAAACAGACTCAGTTCATTACCAGTGCATACATACATTTCAAAGAATTAAAATATACACGCTTATGTCTTATATAAGTTATTCCTCTTTTCTGTCCATAGAAACTACTGTATACCCAAACAGACCTAGTTCTTTACCAGTGCATACATACATTTCAAAGGATCAAAATATACATCCACACACTTATGTCTTATATAAGGTATTGTGAGATCAACATTTCCCCTTGAGTATTACACCAAAGTTCGCCACCTCCCAACCCTAATCATATATGAGGTCTTGTTAGTTCAGTTCTTTTATATCCAGGACTGGCCTCCATTAGAAGGATGAAGCAACCGTCTCAGGTAGCAGTTACTGGCCCAGGTGTTGGTGGTGGAGTGTTGTAACACAAGCTTGTCTCTTTTTATCCTGAGTACTCTGCTAGAGACATTGCGACTGCCCCATGGACACCTCCCTCTTAACACAACTCTATCCTCAGGTGTGGTGGAGGGCACTGCCTTGTTTACCTGTTCCCAAGACCCATCAGCTTCTACAGATGGGGGGAAAAGGGATGGTGGATTTCCCCTTCCTCCAGGCAGCAGAATACCTTGGGCCAGCCCTGTCAGTTGTAAATATACATCAGCAGATACTGTACAATTGCAGTATGATTCACAGATACGAATTCTACTGGAGAGGTGATAGGATTGGAACCAGCTCTTTGCCCTCATCCTAGAAATTCCCTTCACTAGGAACATTTCTGTTTTAACCCTTCGCAGTAACAAGTGTCATCGGCATATTGTGAGACTCTCTCATTTAAAAGTGTTGTGATTACGATAACTAACTTTTATTTGCCCCTAAATTCAATTCAAGAAAATTGTAAATGGCATTAAAGTCAGCGGCAGGAAAGAAGCATTGATGCCACCTAGTGGTGAACTCAATAGTGGCAACAAGTTTTTTTTCCTTCCATGCCAACCTTGGAGATAAGGAGATACAGTACTGTATTCTATAAAGGCATATTCAAGGCAGGATGCTATCAGCAAATCTACTTGCCTCATGCTGAACTAAACAGTATACTCGGCTACCATGAGAGGAAAGCAATGATTCCAGAAATAGCACTTTCAACTAATACTTTTGCAAATTTCTAAATTTCTGTTTTAAGGAGTTACAATTTTTTTGTCTGCATTCTCCTGTATTGCCTGATATGTTTACATGTTGATATAACTACTTATGCTAGCATAGCCACAGTTCTTAATATACACGATAGATTTTCCCCAAGGCTGTACGTTTTCCAGAAACCTGTTACTCGGCTCTTGGCGTTCCAACTTGTGGTGTGCCAGATAATGCAACATCTATATTACAGGAAACCTCACTAGTCCAGCTGACACCACCTTGCCTCCCAAGGCTCAAGGGTGCTGCCTGTTAACAAATGCAAAGAAATGATGTAAGACCCCCCAATTACCAAACCACTGAGGTCCTTACAACAGTCTTTGAGGCCTCGCCTCTTTCTACCACCTAGCAGTACAATCAAACCCATGGGATGTGTCACTGTACAGATATAGTTGGCCTGTAGCTCCCATCCTCCCTTAAAATCAGCTGTGTGAAGGA